CAATGCACTCCCTTAGGGTTTCCCGTAGGAACCTATAGGAGCACCAAATTCCACAATCATAGCCTAAACAAAATTTCTATTCATGCACACATATTAATTAAGTAATTGGAACATACAAGAAAAATATGACATACAACAAACACAGGATTGGGGGCCAATCCCACTACCCAGCATACAATCCCACACCCAGAGCGAGGTTTCTCACTCCCCCCTTACCTCGATAAACAAGGGTTGAAACTAAAGCAGGATCTCCTCCTCCGGGTTTCCCTTGGTCTCCAGAAAGTGTAGAAGAAAAAGGGTCAAAAGTAAAAAAAAAGCGTTTTTCTAGAGTGTCGGAACACAATTATAGGCATCAGGATTTGATTAAATAGTTAAAAGTTTTATTTAAAAATATATATAATATGTTTTAATATAGGAAAAAATAAGTTTGTATGTAAAATATCTAAAACAAATTTTAATTAAAAGATATTATAAATAAAATAAGTGAATTTTGATTTTAATTTTTATAATTTTATCAGTTCTATCCGTAAAAAGTATATGAATTTATTGTTTTTATCTCTACATGTTCATGTGTAGTGTTACTCATTAATTGTTCGTGTTTAAAGAAAGATCAAATAAATATCCTAAATAATATCTACTAATGTTTGTAGTACTAAATAATAATGTGTTACTTTTAAAAAAAATTGATAGATCCCTAAAGTAAATGTAATTAGTATCTCTATCATGTATATAAGCCTATTTATTCTATTGTTTGTCTATTTGTATTTTTCTAATTTTATTTTTTATTTATTATTATTATTTCCTAAAATATAATTAATTAATTAATATGACTCTGTTCCTTATATTTAGTCCTATCTTTTTTTTTTCCAAAAAATTATATTTTTTAAGTTTTAAAATTTAATTAACGTCTTTTTTCTTAATTATACTTCTATTTAATAAAAAAATTCTTATCAACCATTCATTTTTTTCTTATATAAACAAGGTAATAAAGTTGAAATAAAGAGATATATAATAAAAAATTAATCAAATTTTTAATCTATTAAATATTAAATAAGGACTAAAGATTTAAGAAGGATGGAATAATTTTTTTACACAAAAAATAATAAATGATGAAAATTAATGAGATGAGTTTTTTTTCTTATTGAGATTGAAGAACATGCATGAATAGACACAATTTTTAAACATTAATTAATTAAGTGATAAATAATTGAATGAAAAGGATTATTAATTTCAAAATGTTAAGAATAGTTTTGAAAATAATTTTATTTATTGAAAAGTTTATTGAAAATTAGTTAAAAAGATCTTATATATAAAGAAAAATATATTATTTATCTAGTTAAACTTATAAGCATTATTATCTTCACAATTAATTTATTTTCTCTAGCATATTTTTGTTTAATTTAATTATGTATTTTCTTTTATTTTTATATTATACAGATTACATAACAATTTTTTGTGTCTCTCCAATAATGGGGTCTGAGTGATTGTGATAGCAAACCTAGGAGAAGTGATGGATGATCTTCTCCACGGATTTGCTTAGGCCGGATCTTCTTCAATGGAGGCTTGATTCTTCAACTCAAGACACTTAGAAGCTTAAGAACTCACGGATGCACTCAACCTAGAACTAGGAGGGAAGCATCCAAGCTCAAGCATCAATGGAGAGCACACTTCAAAGAGGAGGATTCTAAGGTGAAATCCTAAGGTTTTGAAGATGAACTCTAAGGTGACTTTGAAAGGGGAAACTCGGCCAAAGGCTCTCAAATTTCATTCAATATTCAAAGTGAGTACAATAAGGTGAAGGAGGGAACATATAACTTCCGAAAATTAGGTGAACACTTGGCGCCACATGAGTGGCCACCATGTTGGCGCCAAGTTTTGAATTCAAATTTGAATTTGAATTCAAAACTTGTCACACATGTGTATGACCGGTCCCATGGGTGCTTGGTGCATTTGGCTTTGATTTAGTGTGCATTTAGGGTTGAATTTAAGTCACACATGTTCAGCCAAGGTGGCATAATCCATGTGACTCAAAATGCAACTTAAATGCATGCTAAATTAAACCTAATTTTGCCTAATCCTCTTAAACTAATATTCCTCCTTAAATCCTACTCTAATGACCCAAATACAATGGTCCAACAAATACAATGGAAAGGAAAAATTACAAGAATGAAAATGAGCCCAATATTGGGTACCAAAAGCCCAAAGGCCCATGAAGCCCAAAACTAGGCCCAACAAGCCTAAAACCTAAAATGCTACTCTATGTGGTCCAAAATACAAGACCAAAATATATTCATACTATACTAACAAAAATATAATAAGAATGTTAAAAACAAGATAAGCCCATGTTGAAACTTGGTTTGGGCCTTCCAAGCCCATAGGGCCCGTTGGGCCTAGACTGGCCCAATCTTCCATGTCTAGCCCACTCCTCTTGGATCTTTGAGTGTGTCACCTCTTGCATTCCCAAGTATGATTCCATCATCCTACTCTAATGACCCAAATATAACAATTTTTTGTGTCTCTCCAATAATGGGGTCTGAGTGATTGTCCTATCAATCAGTTTTTAGTGTGATACTGTTGACTTGAGACACTTGTATTTCTTTCTTCTTTTCTAAAATATGTAAAATACATGTTATTTATTTATTTTAAAATGGACATTATTGTTATTAAATTATTGATTTTAAATTTTAAAGCAATAAAAATAAGAAAAATGTTTTATAGGTTAAAAATTAATATTTATTTATTTTATATATAAAAACAATAATTTTAAATTTTATGAAGATTTAAAAAAATAAAGACCAAAATTAAAAATGATTTATAATAGTAAAATTATATTTAAACCATCTTAATATATAGTGTGATTGTGCAATAAATGTAATAAATGTATTTAATATATTCATGAAATATTAATTGTTGTATTTATTATTGTATTCATTAAATATAACATGCAATTAACTTTAGTGATTGTATTAAATGTTTCATTTATTAAATTATTAAATATAACAACTCATTGCATTTACTAAATATAATACATTTCAAATGAATATATGTATTTTAAAAAAATATTATTATATAAAAATTAGTTACATGCTATACCATATTATTTATATCTATAATCTATAAATTTATACACAATTTTTTAAATGAATTTTATTTTCAAATATTTAAATAATAAAAATGACATTAAAATTTAACTATCTTTATAAATATAAGACTTGAATTTAAAATATTGAGATTTAATCCTTAAGTATAATACTAGTTGATTTAATAAATGTTATAATTTTTAAATATTTTTATTAAATAATATAGAGTATCTTGATCTCATTAATTAATATATATAATTATATTTTATAAAATATTTTAATATAATATTAATTATATTTAATAATTTTTTATGTTTAATAAATGAATAATTTTTCTATATGAATGTGTGTATATATATAATTATAGTTATTATATAAAATTAATTATTTAAAATAATATACATTTTCAATATGAATTATTTAAAATATTATTTTTAATTATTATTGTATATAAAAAATAATTTAAAATAATATAAGATAACTGTTAGCGTGCATTAAGTTTTCTAGTATTTCTAGTTGTGTTTTCTATAAGATAATTATTTGTTATTATAGAATTCGAATTTACAAAAAACAATTATTGAAACATTTAAATTATATAATAATTAATATTTATAATAAATAAATATTTTTGAAAATATAAATCATGAGATTAATAATATATATCTACTTACATTCAAGTTTTGAAATTATAATTTAAATTTATAATATAAAATAAATAGTAGTATTATTATTTCATAAAAAAAGAAGAAGAAGAGAAGTAACATTTGATTAAGTGAAAATGAAAATGATTAATGCGTAGTAGAATGAGCGTTTGTTTAGATTTAGTAGGTGTTTGGTTTTGAGGTTAGAGGCAAGGTAAAAGGCATTTTGAGTAGGTTAAATAAGGTGAATTATGATTGGACGTGAAAAGCAAAAGAAAGAGTTATGCATGATTATTTAGAAGAGAGAATGTGGTGAATTACATTACAGTAGTAAGGAAAAGAAATAGTAGAAGCAGCGTTACGTGGTATCCAATGTAATTGACACGTGTGAGCGGTTGAACGCAGCTTAACGCTCACACGCGTGACGGCACCCCCACTTGCCCGCGCAGAGGGTGAGTATCCTGTGTCAGCTATTCGGTATTTGAAAGTTCAAAAACACAAACCCCACTCTCTCACTCACCCTAACGCACTCTCTCTCTCTCTCTTCCACCACGTTACAACTTACAACTTACAACTTACAACGGGTCTCCATTAATGCTTCTCTCTTTCTCTCTCTTATTTCAATCCTTCCTCTTCCCCTCTCTCGCTCGCTCCACCATCTGCATTCTTTTCCGAATGCTTTTCACTGTTCCTTCCTCACACCGCTTTTCGCCTTTTCCTTTTTTGAATTTTCAACTTCGCTCAGGATCCTAGGGTTTTCTCCACATTTTCCCCATCCGCGTTTCTCCGTTGTTCATGATTCGTCATGGAGAAATCCCGCCACGCCAACTTCAACGCACCATCCTCCTCCAACCAACCTCTTCCTCGAGGTATTTGAGTATTTCTACTCTCTCTTTCCTTTTTTTGTCTTTTTTTTTTTTTTTTTTTTTTTTTTGTTTTTTTTTTTTTTTTTTTTTTTGTTTTTTTTTTTTTTTTTTTTTTTGTTTTTTTTTTTTTTTTTTTTTTTGTTTTTTTTTTTTTTTTTTTTTTTGTTTTTTTTTTTTTTTTTTTTTTTGTTTTTTTTTTTTTTTTTTTTTTTGTTTTTTTTTTTTTTTTTTTTTTTGTTTTTTTTTTTTTTTTTTTTTTTGTTTTTTTTTTTTTTTTTTTTTTTGTTTTTTTTTTTTTTTTTTTTTTTGTTTTTTTTTTTTTTTTTTTTTTTGTTTTTTTTTTTTTTTTTTTTTTTGTTTTTTTTTTTTTTTTTTTTTTTTTTTTTTTAATTTTTGCTTCAGTCAAAATCGGAGTTTAAGCTGCTTTCTTCAAGGAGAATTTTCTCTACCTGCAAGTTACAACCATTGCAAATTTTAATTTCTACTTCATTTATTACTTTTTGCTCAAAAAAGAAAAGTCGTGGTTTTTTTTATTAAATTAAATTGAGTTTCTGTTTTTATTTGTATTTGACTGTGACTGTGAGTATGTATATTTTTTTTTATCTATTTGAATATTGTTTTTATTTTATTTTATTAATTTTTTAAGTCGAGTTGTCAAAATTAAATATTTTCTTTTAATTATTGATCAGTCCCCTGGTACAATGGTTTTAACTTATTAGCCCACTAGAGATGAATTTTTGAACAGTGTGAAACTAGAGGAATCTGTGCAAAAACAACAACCAAGTCCTTTTCTGTCACCAGTGGAGTCCGCGACATGGTTAAAACAATGATTATAGGGACCGGAATGAATGCTACTTTCTTATTTCTTATTCGATTTTTGTTTTTTTGACCTGGATTCCCTGCGGTGCAGTCGGTATGATTTCGCTCCTTTTCGTAATGATTTTATTCTGTTATGATGTTTTGTGAGATCACACACAACGGTGCCCGGCCATTGATGGTTTTCGAAAACGTGCCCCTTTTCGTTTTTGTTTATGTTTTTCTTTGCTTAGTGGTTCAACTGGAACATGTCGGGGTTCTATTCTTTCACTGCTGTTCTCCCAATCGTTTTTATCGTTTTTGATAAGCAGTTCATGTTTCTTTAACGATTTCCTGGTTGCTTCCTTGCTTTGATTCTAGTAACTCCAAACGTTTTTTTTTCCTCCGGAATATTTAATTTTCGTTTTCTGTATCTCTTCATGAACCTTCATTTGATGCTCAAATGTTGTTATACGGTTCGTTTCAGGGAACAAACAGGTTCATAGACAGCGACAAGCACCGATTCTGTCTCCTGATTCTGGTTCGTGCGGTGGTGGGGTTGCAGACAGGGATTCGGTAAGTTTTTTTTTTTTTTCCCCTTTTCTGTATGTTTTTCTTTCTACAATTGGTTGTGATCTGTGTTGCCGCGTTTATGAATGAAGAAACTTTCTTAATTCGGTGGAGGGGTTGCATTTTATTATCCTCTCCATGTAATGTGATTATTTGTGGAAAAAGGAAAAAGAAACACTGACAGTTATGTACATATGTGCTGATTTTTGCAGTTCTCATTGAAATTTGGGTGGAGATCAAAACAGCTGCTTGGAACTCCAATTAAGAAGTTATTAGCTGAAGAGATGTCACCAAAATCTGAATCTAAAAGAAGATCCCCTGGTGTTATTGCCAGGTTGATGGGTCTTGATGGACTGCCGTTCCAGCAGCCAACTAATAAGCAGCATAAGGGTTTGTCAGAAAACCACCAACAGAAGGCAGCGCAGTTAGAGAAAACTCGCAGCAGAGGAATGTCATATGATGGTCCATCGTCTAGAAGAAGCTCAAAGGATCAGCAAGAATTTAAGGATGTGTTTGAGATCTCAGAGATTTCAAAGGTAGAGAGTAATAGGTATCCATCGGAGGGGTGTGCAGACTTGAAGTCTGCTGATGCTGAAATTTCGTTCATTGAGCAGAAGTTCAGGGATGCCAAACGCCTTGCAACTCACCAAGATGTGCAGTCTTCAAAGGATTTCCGCGACACACTTGAGGTTTTGGACTCTAACAAGGATCTTCTGCTTAAGTACTTTAAGCGGCCAGATTCTTTGTTTAAAAAGCATCTAAATGATCTCGAAGCTGCTCCTGTCCAATCACATTATGGTGATGTAGGAGCTATGGATATTGAGAAGAATGAACATGACATCAATTGGAGGTCAGATAGGGAGAAAACACGGTTGAACTACAATAGATCTCACGGGAAGCATCATGATGGCTATCCCTGTCAGTTTGACAAAAGGCATGCGATGCATAGTTCACCAAAATCATCAAAGCTTCAATTTAAGGGTAGACCTGAGCAAGATGCAGTCCCCACAAAGATTGTCGTCCTGAAACCTAATCTTGGAAAAGTGCAGAATGGTACCAGAATCGTATCATCACCTTGTTCTTCACATAGTTTTCTGCAAGGGCAAGAAAATGACACTGGTTTTTCAGGTGTCAAATTTAGAGACACTGAACTGCGTCATGTGACAAATTTGCCTGAAAGTGCCAGATCTTGGAGGCAAGATTCTTTTGAATCTAGAGAAATTGCAAAGGAAATCACTAGGCAAATGAAAAATAGTCTTAACAATGGCTGCATGATGATATCTACTTCTAGATTTAGAGGATATGCTGGGGATGATAGTTTTTGTAGTGTTTCTGGGAATGAATCTCCCGAGGAGTCTGAGGAAACAACATCAACATTGGGAAATTCATTAGACTTGAACAACCGTAGCAGGCGATCTTCCCGTTCTAGTGAATCTTCTGTCAGTAGAGAGGCAAAGAAGAGATTATCAGAGAGGTGGAAAATGACTCACAAGTCTCAAGAGATGCAAGGCATCAGCAGGAGCAGCACACTGGCTGATATGCTTGCCATTCCTGACAAGGAATTGAAGGATGCAAATGTCGACAGCATGGCTAGTGGGGAGGGTTTCCATGGTAAATTTACTCCCAATGGTGAACCTGCCAAGTGGGTTGAACCATTGGGTATCAGCAGCAGGGATGGTTGGAAAGATGGATGCATTGGTAGTTTGTCAAGGTCAAAATCCCTTCCGTCTTCATCTACTGCATTTGGAAGTCCTAGAACATTCTTGCGTACTGAAGCACTTCGTGATGATCGATTTATGGTTCCAAAGGAAGCCCATAAACGTGAGAGGAGAAGAGCTGCAAAGAGTCTTGATCTTAGACATGGTGTGAATAACAGAAGCACAAGGGCTGGTCACAAAAAGTCTTGTTCCTTGCATTCATCAAAGCTCGAAGCTGATGATTTTTCTCCAGACCTGCACACAATTCAGAATAAAATGAAGATCAATCTTGAAGATTCACCCAAGCTTGAGGTTCTGGCTAATGAATCTCTAGCAGAGACTGTAAGAGATACAAGTGCAGTTACTGATGATGATGTGCATGTGACAAATGGAAGTGAAGTTGTGTCTTCCAAATCTTCTAATAAGATGCTTCCTGGATTATCTTCTCATGTTTTGATAAAAGGCGGCAGTAGTGCAGTTGACAAAGACAATTCAATTCAGCAGGTTAAGTTTCTAACTTCTTCAATTGGTATGCTGATAATGCTGCGGTCATCTTAATTTTACTAAACAATCTACTTGCAGTATCAACTAGATTAATAATTCTTTTATCATGACATTCCTTTTTTTATCTCATTTGTGTGCTTCACTAGTTGACATCGCAGGCCTTTTGCAGAGATTTTAAATATTCTTGTGAACTTTGCATTATTCAAATAAAATATTTAAATGATTTAGAAAATAAAAATTGTTTATACAGAATATTGTTCATTTGGTTGCTATTAATATTTTACAGAAATGTTTAGATGCTGTGGTAGATACATTCCTAAAGAGGATAGATTTATCTTATCATTATCTAATATGCTGGGTCGTAATCTCTGAATTGTATGAAAGTTTCCAAGTTCCATCGGGTTTTTTCTTACTTGATATGGTGTGATATTTCAGGATCTATCTACTGGGTCTTCTGGTGGAGGTTCGGTCCTCTATGAACCACCTGCCCCTGGACTTGAATCTTGCTGTAAAGATGCTGATCAACCCAGTCCCGTCTCAGTCCTAGAACCTTCTTTTACAGATGATCTGTCATCTTGTTCTGAATGTTTTGGAAGTCTCAGTGCTGATCTACAAGGTAACTGGACCAGACATTTATTTTGATTATTCTGGAATAATAATGTTTGTAGTTTCCTTTATTTACTAGAGCCTTACTGCCAGATTTTTTCTCTCATAATTTCCATAGCTGCGAATAACGGCAGTTAACTATGTGGGTGCAATATTGGACACTTCTTTAGTTATTTTTTTCTTTTTGTGAAGAAAACAGTAGTAGTACATGCATATTTATGGTTCCATGACTGTACATGCATATTTATGGTTCCATGACTACGTGAGATTGGATCACAGTAGCTGAAAAGCAATTTTTTCTGTGATCTTCCTTCATAGCTTTCTCTTATACTTGACAGTAGCATCCTTTCATCCATTTGGTGATTCATAATGAAGAAAGTGGAGACCGATTGATATCTTCCTTAAAAGTTTTGGGTCTTTGGTGAATTTATTGTTTAACAATTACCATGGTGTGTATTTTTGGAAGAAAAAAAATGGAGTGTGAATGCTTTTTTTTTTTTTTTTTTTTTTTTTTT